TGGCAACATGACACAGTACCACATAGGAGTACTTACCCCAGGGAAATTTGCAAACACCACAGATCAGATCTCTGCCTGCTGCTCCCTAATTCAGGCTAGTTGTTAAACATTTTTTTACCAGCACACTTGTGATGACATGACCCTTCAAGTTGACTGACTTCTGTCAGCAGTAATGAATAATCGAGGCATCAGTTAGATGGAGAGTTTACCTTTGTGAGACACTTAACTCTCAAAAAGAAATATTTTTGTTACAGAATAAAGCTTGTAACACCTAGTTTTCTTGGTGTTCAATGTTTTCCTTACTTCCAAATTCTCTAAGGTAGAGAAAGGCAAAGTCTGACTACTGGATAAGGGGGGATACTAATACAGTAGTTCTGTGGTCTCAAGTAAAAGCATAAAATGTTACATTTGAAGTAGAACTAGAAAGGATGCTAAACAAAACTGTGCTGGGCAAAAAAAAAAAAAAAAAAAAAAAAAAAGGAAAGGCAAATAGCTCTATCTAACCAAAATTCTATTCATGTGAGGGAGCAAAAGACGATACAAGAGGAGAGTTTTTTCTAACGCCCAAATCAGCTTTTTAATGGATGAAGCTCTTTTTGTCCAGAGTTACTGAAGCTTCTGGATGTTGTTAGGAATTTAAGTTCCCAGACAGATTCAGTAAAATACTGTAGCAGTCCAGAGAAAGCCAAATAAACTTGCGGGGAGAGGGAGGGAAGGGAAATTCTTAGTATAAAAGATAAATCTACGCTAAGGTTGAATGGCTGTTATAATTACATTTTTTAAAAACTGGGAGAAACTAAGGATTTTATATGGAATATAAACTGTCTTATACTTTAGGGTCTAAATGAAAGGCATATACATTTAAAATGTAAAAGAAAGAAATGTATCATATCACTTTCTTCTTTCGTTTTTGAGACAGGGTCTCACTCTGTCACCTAGGCTGGAGTGCAGTGGCGCCATCATGGCTCACTGCAGCCTCAACCTCCCAGGCTCAAGTGATCCTCCTACCTCAGCCACCCCCACCAAGGAGCTGGGACTACAGGCACTTGCCAGCATACCCAGCTAATTTTTTTTTTATCTTTTGTAGAAACAGGGTTTCACCATATTGCCCAGGCTTGTCTTGAACTCCTGGGATCAAGCAATCTGCCCGCCTCGGCTTCCCAAAGTGCCACGATTACAGTGTGAGTTACCGCACCTGGCCTCATATGATTTTGAATAAGGCATTTGCTTTATGCTTTACAAGGTACTAGTAGTAAAAACTGTTTAGAGTGATGCACATAAAGAAGAGTTCAGACATAAATGTAAGACCTGAAGCTATAAAACTACTAGAAGAAAACAGGAAAACCACTTCAGGACATTGGGTCTAGGCAAAGATTTTATGGCTAAGACCTCAAAAGCACAAAAAGCAAAGACAAAAATAGCCAAATTGGATTATATTAAACTAAAAAGCTCAGCAAAGAAAACAGCAGAGTAAAGAGATAACCTGTTGTATGGAAGAAAATATTTACAAACTATTAATCAAACAAGGGACTAATGTCAAGAATATACAAGGAACTTAACAGTAAAAAAAAAAAAAACCCATTAAAAGTGGGCAAGGGATATGAATAAACATTTCTCAGAAGAAGACATAAATGCCCAATAAGTATATGAAAAATGCTTAATATCACTAATCATCAGAAAGATGTAAATGAAAACCATAATAAGGTATCACCTATGACAGAGTGGTTATTACTAAAAAGACAGAAAATAACAGATGCTGGTAAGGATGCAGAAGAAAATTCTTTTACACTGTCAGTGGGAATGTAAATTAGTACAGCCTCTATGGAAACATAGTATTTCCCAAAAAACTGAAAGAACTGCCATATGATCTGTCATTCCCACTATTGTGTATTTATTCAAAGGAAAATAAATCAGTTCAATGTAGCACTATTCACAGTAGCAAAGAACAGAATCAACCTAAGTGCCCATCAACAGATGAATGGATAAAGAAAATGTGTTACCTATATTATACATGATGAATACTATTTGGCCATAAAAAAGAAGGAAATCATTTCCTCTGCAGAAACATGGAAGGTACTGGAGGTTATTATGTTAAGTGAAATAAGCCAGGCACACAATGACAAATATCACATGTTCTCTCACTCATGTGGGAGCTAAACATGTTGGTCTCATGGAGGCAGAGAGGAGAATGATGGTTGCCAGAAGCTGGGAAAGGTGTCTGGGTTGGGGTGGGGGATGAAGAGAGGTTGGTGAATAGGTACAAACATACAGTGAGCTATGGAACAAAGGAATGTTTAACAGCAGAGTAGGGTAACTATAGTTAGTAACAGTGAATGCTTTTTATATTTTAAAATAGCTAGGAGAGAAGACTTGAAATGTTCCCAGCACTTAGAAATGAGAAATATTCGAGGTGATGTATACAGTCAAGGTAACAAAATAGCTCATATACCTCATAAATATGTAAACTATTATATATCATTTTGTTTTTAAAAAGTATAGCAGTTTGGTACAAAAATTAGCCAGGCATGGTGGCAGGCACCTGTAGTCCCAGCTACTTGGGAGGCTGAGGCAGGAGAATTGCTTGAACCCAAGAGGCAGAGGTTGCTGCAGTGAGCTGAGATCGTGCCACTGCACTCCAGTCTGGGTGACAGAACAAGACTCTTAAAAAAAAAAAAAAGTATAGCAATTTGGTATTAAACTGGAAGGACCAAAGGAACTAACAATCTTTAAACCAGTCAATGCCCTATGTAATTTGTTTACCAGTAAATTGGACAGAACACAGGGAACTTTAGTGGATATAGGTGGTTTACTTTTAAATGAGGGAATACAGATTCCCCAGGAGATAACCTCTTTCTCTAAGAACATAAAGTTTTATGGAGGAGAGAGAATATTCTCATATGAAAAATACCTAAGAATATATGAAACTAATGTATGTAATAGGAAGCTATTACATATATTAAGAATAACTTCGTTGTTCAGTTTTTAGTTACTGCTGAACATCTTGACAATTTAAATAAATCACTATTTTTTCCCTAACCTTGTCCAGATTTCCAAAACTCAGTTACTCTCCTAACCAGTCTACTTAAGTGAATATACTTTTCCAGTCACCAAGACTGAGATTCAGTATATTGGAGTCATCTTTATCTTTCACCCTTCCCTTTCCTTATAAGTGTCCCTTTCTACTTATTTAGGCCTTCAATGCATATTACACCTTAAATTGTATAAGTTTATACATTTTAAAAGATTTTCATCATTATATAATCACTCTGAGTTAAGCAGAAGTGATTAACATTTCATCACTCAAGTATTGAGGGCCTACAAGGTCACTACAAGGTGAGTGACATATAAATAAGGATGCAGAATCAGACAGGTTAAATGACTTGCCCAAGGTAACAGGATCAGTCATTATTACCAGTCCTATGATTCTAATGTAAACATTCTTTTCATTACACTATGATGCCTCTCAACTCATATTTGGTCCATTACTATTAATTCATAGTGGGCTTCTCTGCCTCTGCTTTTCCTTCTCCAGACTATCTTGCAGATCACCATTAAATTAAACACAGCTTTCATTATAATATAGCACAATAAGAACTTTTCAATCATGTCCTATTGTATAGAGGAGAAAAACTTTATCTCTGCTTTTATACAGGGTATCGCTTACTGAACTGTGAGCATATTCTTTGGAACATACCTTTACTTTTCTAAGAGTATGCCTTTGCTTTTAGCAGTGTTAACCTTCTTTGAGCTTCTTTGAGGGACTCAAACCTACTTTGAGTCCCTAAGTAACAGTTATTGCCATAGACCTAGATATTTATGTACCAAGCATTATCTATAGACTACATATATGCACAACAACTACCTTGTGTATTTTGACTGAGGGAGTAAAGTTTTTGATATTAAAAAAAAAAAAGAGTCCTCTTTGCTGGGTGAGGTGCCTCATGTCTGTAATCGCAGTGCTTTGGGATGCCAAAGCAGGAGAATCACTTGAGACCAGGAGTTTGAGACCAGCCTAGGCAACATAGTGAGATCCTGTTTCTACCAGAAAAAAACAAAACAAAACAAAAAAACGCCGGGCATGGTGGTACAAGCCTGTAATCTCAGCTACTCAAGGAGGCTGAGGTGGGAGAATCAATTGAGGCCAGGATTTCAAAGCTGCAGTGAGCTATGATGAGGCCAGTGCACTCCAGCCTGAGCAACAGAAAGTGTCTTAAAAAAAAAAAATACAAAAAAACCCTCAAGTTTCGCTTCTGATAATTAAGAACTCAGTGGTTTTGATCATACTTCTGCTGTGAACAACTAGAAAAGCTAGACCAAAACCAAACACCCACCCCTATTTAAAGGCACTTGTTAGTGACAAGTTATATTTTCCACTATCACAACAAAGAAAAAGGCAAAACATGTGGCAGGCATCTTTAGATTTGGAGACAACAAAACACAGTACAATTGGGTAAGCTGTTCTCAGAGGCTTAACTGTAACTATAAGACTACCAGTTTTGGCCAGGCATGGTGGCTCACGCCTGTAATCCCAGCACTTTGGGAGGTCGAGGTGGGCAAATCACCTGAAGTCAGGAGTTCAAGGCCAGCCTGTCCAACGTGGTGAAATTCCGTCTCTACTAAAAATAAAAAAAATAGCTGGAAGTGGTGGTGCATGCTTGTAATCCCAGCTACTCAGGAGGCTGAGGCAGGAGAAGCACTTGAACCTGGGAGGCAGAGGTTGCAGTGAGCTGATATCTTGCCACTGCATTCCAGTGTGGGCAACAGAGTGAGACTCCGTCTAAAAAAAAATTACCAGTTTTGTGTGGGGTAGGGCTCAGACTTAGGCTTTATGATCCTGTAGATCCAATGGTATTGGAAGTTAATGTAGGAGAGATGTTATGTGAAGCCTCTGGCAAGTTTCAGTACAAGAATTATAACATAGACCTTAATTTAAGGTTTAGGAGTAAGACCGTATCTTCCTTAGCCATGGTTTTGATTCATTTTGTTTTTTCTTTGAAAAGCACCCCTTGATTTGCTACTGGTACCTGGAAGAGATGTAACACCCGACCATGGGACATCAAGTGACTGTGTGAATCAAACTGCCCATCATGACTTGTTGTTATTTGACTCAACCAAACTGTACAACTGGATGAGCACAGGAGCAGTGCACTACATATGGGACTGGAACCATGAATGAGCAGGTGACTCAGACTCCTATAGTACCTGCCTCTAATCCTTCAGCACTTCTCCCTCAACCCACATAAACTGTCATCATAAGGAGTTCCCTCTGATCAGTTAACGAAGAGAAAAAAGTATGGATATTGTGGATATCCAAACATCTCTCTGGCCATTGGACCCCTAGAAACCTGTGACAAGTCCTGGAAGTTTTTCAAGGTTCATCTTGCACCTTCTAGCATGCGTATGTTTTACCAAAGCATGTAGAATGCTGCCTACTTCTGCTCATCAGTTTCACTTAATATAATTTCATTACTCTAATAAATCAGTGTGATGTTCTATGGAATAGCAAGACCATCAAGGTCCCTTCATACAATATAGAGAACAGGAGAGTTGATGTAGCCTGAGACAAGACAGTAAGGACTTACTGTTGTTCCTCCTATTTAAATTTAGTCTGTTTCTGATTCTCCTTATAATTAGAATTGGGGTGGGGGGACATTTCCAGATCAATATCTGTATCATGTCAAGATGTATATTAATTTCTTCCAAAGAAGATACCACACCTAGAACAGCAACCATAATTGGCATCCCTACCTAATTAAAGTTTGCAGTCCACTGTCATTCTTCACTAGCCATCTGGTTTTTATACTTTCATTCTCTATGATGCATCTGGTGGCCACAGGAAATTTAAATGGGAATGTGGTATGAATCACCATGGCAAAATGGTGGCACTAATCTCTACAATTTCTTTTGGTTTTTCTATTTTGTTTTTTATGTTTTGTAGAAATGGAGTCTTGCCATGTTATATAGGCTGGTCTCAAACTCCTGGGGTCAAGTAATCCTCCTGCCTTGGCCTCCCTAAGTACTGGCGTTACAGGCATGAGCCACTGTGCTTGGCCAATCTCTGCCATTTCTTCAGGGTATATCCCTGCTTTTCCTTCACTATCTTAATGAGGAGTGGTAGAAGGCAGACCTAAGCTGCTGTGTAGCGCTTTCCACCATAATAGCAATCCCTCCATGGATCAGGAAACCAAAATAAAGATTGTTATTAAAAGATATATATCACTACTACACATCTAGGACTTGAGAAGTAACCACAGTATGGGTCCTTCTGGATCCACCGTCAGCCACAGCCAGGCCAAGATTCCATCACTTGACTTCCGTAGGTCCCCTATTCTGACTAGTCGTCCAAGGTAGAGTTTTGGGTTTCTAGTATTAGTACAAGTTAAGAGACAGTGCCTTAAGAATTTTAGCCAGCCTGGCCAAGATGCCGAAACCCCATCTCTACCAAAAACACAGAAAACTAACTGGGAGAGGTGGTGCACGCCTGTAGTCCCAGCTATTCGGGAGGCAGAGGTTGCAGTGAGCTGAGATTATGCCACTGCAGTCCAGCCTGGGTGACAACAGAGCAAGACCTTGTCTCAAAAAAAAAAAAAGGAAAAAAAGAAAGAATTTTGGATATTTACCTTTCTCTAGTGAATGGTCACTGGTCCCTATGGAAAAGGCTTAGAGCAATGATTCTCCCAATATGTCTGCTCACTGGAAGTATCTGGGGAACTTGAAAAAATACTGCCTGGGTCTTCCCCAAGATTATTATTTAATTAGTCTGGGTTGTGGCCTGGGCTTTAGAATCCTAAGGTGTTTTAATGTGCAGACAAGTTTGGGAACCCCACTGGATTAGGGAACAATTCATGGTATACAGCTGTGATTGCATTGCCCCTTTTGTCAAAGGATCCAGTCTCTTTCCATCAGTGAAGGAGTACCAAGTCTGGGAGCTAGAAGAGATGCTTCAAATTTTACTACAAAAACACAAGAATTTTTCCACCTATATATGTCAAGCAGCACCTTGGTAGGTTACTTAATGTATTTTATTTCCAGGGACCTCATGATCATTTAGCCATTATGACTTTTCCCTGTGGGTCAAAATACTCTAGTTTTAAACGTTCTCTCCTCTGACTTATTTTGGTAATTGTGCCTACTTTGTCTCAGAGAGATATATATGTGTGTGTGTATATATATGTGTGTGTGTGTGTGTGTGTGTGTGTATATATATATTTTTTTTTTGAGACAGAGTCTTGCTCTGTTGCCCAGGCTGGAGCGCAGTGGCATGATCTCAGCTCACTGCAACCTCCACCTCCCAGGCTCAAGCCATTCTCTTGCCTCAGCCTCCTGAGTAGCTGAGACCACAGGCATGGATTACCACACCCAGCTAATTTTTGTATTTTTACTAGAGATGAAGTTTCACCATGTTGGTCAGGCTGGTCTCGAACTCCTGGCCTCAAGTGATCTGCCTGCGTCAGCCTCCCAAAGTGCTGGGATTACAGACGTCAGCCACTGTGTCCAGCCTGTGTCTGATATTTATATGCTCTTATGTGTCCTCTATTGCCTTGGGATTCTAATGTTCCCACTAAGATCAGCAAACCCAGTTCCACTACAGTGTTCACCACCATCATCTCTTGACAACAAAGACAGCTACTTTAGAGCTCCTTGTGAAATGGTAGTGCTTCCATCATCACTGCATTCCTTAATGACATGGTGAAAATTAACAGTGGCTAAGGAGCCTTTGTGTTTTCTCCTCTACAATATGCCCAGGAATTTCTGGCATTTTGGCCATCTTATTTATAGGCTATTACTGAATTTAAGCCTTATCCTACCAAATTATTAATGCCAAAATATTAACTCTTGATTCTTAGGTAAGTGCACCCATGCCAATAAATTTGCCATGATCTAACCTTAAATGTATTCCCATATATGCTGTCCAAGTTCCCACTGATGAAAATGGCAAGGCCTTTAGTTCTCCTAGGTAGGCTTTCTCTGTCCAGAGAAGGCCTCATACTTCTCTGACTAGGCTATGTTGGGATATAACTGGAGGCACTAATAGGTAGTAAGGGTAAATTCTTTATTTTATTATTACTTTTTGGAGACAGGGAGGGTCTTGCTTTGTTGTTCAGACTGGAGTGCAATGGTGTGATCATGGCTCATTGCAACTTTGAACGCCTGGGCTCAAGTGATCTTCCCACCTCAACCTTCTGAGTAGCTGGGACTACAGGCACAAACCACCATGCATGGCTAATTAAAAAAATTTTTTTTTTTTTTTTTTTTTTTTAGAGACAGAGCCTTGCTGTGTTGCCTAGGCTAGTTTTGAACTCCTGGGCTCAAGCAGTCCTCCCACCTCAGCCTCCCAAAGGCTGGGATTACAGGCCTGAGCTACCGTGCCTAGCCCCAGCTAGTAAGTTCTGAGGAGAGCATGTATCAGCTTGTGAAGGAGCTTGCCCAAGTGCAATCACTGGAAGCCTCTATGCATAGGAGGCTGGTTTCCTCAGAAAGAGATTTAGGGGAAGATGGATGTTCAGAGTTTTCAGCTTCATTTTTCTCTGCTCAAACATCCCTATCCTATGTCTTAGGACCCCACTCCCCTCACCAATGTTCCAATGTTAGAATAGGAAAGGGGAAGAATTAAGCATGTAATTGATACTACAAATCTACCATATCTGCCCAGTGATTACAGAAGATAATCAATTCCTTCAGACCTGTAGTGGAGTTTTGATGCTCTACATAGAGTCATTTTCTTTTTGTTGTTGTTGTTGTTTGTGGGTTCAAGTGATTCTCATGCCTCACGTTCCCAAGTAGCTAGGACTACAGGCACGCACCACCACACTCAGCTAATTTTTGTATTTTTTCGTAGAGATGGGGTTTTACCATGTTAACTAGGCTGGTCTTGAACTCCTGGCCTCAAGTGATCCACCCACCTCAGCCTCCCAAAGTGCTGGGATTACAGGTGTGAGCCACTGCGCCTGGTCACAACATACAGTCTTAATTGTAGTTTTTATGTTTTTCTTATGTATTTTTCTTTTCTTTTTCTTAGAGATAGGGTCCCCCTCTATCACCCAGGCTTTAGTGCAGTGGCATGATCATAGCTCACTGCAGCCTCAAACTCTTGGGCTTAGACAACCCTCCTGCCTCAGCCTCCTGAGTTGCTGGGACAATAGGTGTGTGCTACCATGCCCAGCTAATTAAAAAAAATTTTTTTAGAAATGGGGTTTTGCAATGTTGCCCAGGTTCGTCTCAAACTCCTGGCCTCAAGAGATCCTCCCACTGCAGCCTCCCAGATAGGGGACTACAGGTATGAGCCACCATGCCCCTTAAGCCACTTATGCCTAGTGCTCCATTATTGGAATGCTAAGCATGTGGGAATTATTTATAGCCTACTGCTCAAGGTCATCGCCAAGGTCTGAGTTTTCACTCATGCAAAAATTCAAAAAATTGCAATCTCTGACATAAACGGGTTAAGTACTTTCTGTTTCGGACCATAAGAAAAGCCAGATGGATCTATAATTTTTATAATTACTATGGTTACCATGGTGATACACTCCTTACCCGCTTCACTTAATTTCATGTTGTTACTGTTAATCATAATACTACTGCAAACTGGCTGAGTGCAGTGACTCCTTCCTGTAATCCCAGCACTTTGGGAGGCAAAGGCAGGAGGATCACTGGAGCTCAGGAGTTCAAGACCAGCCTAGGCAATACAGTGAGACTGTCTCTACAAAAAAATAAAAACAGGCCGAGCACGGTGGCTCACACCTGTAATCTCAGCACTTTGGGAGGCTGAGGCGGGTGGATCACCTGAGGTCAGGAGTTCAAGACCAGCCTGGCCAACATGGTAAAACTCTGTCTCTACTAAAAATACAAAAATTAGCTGGGCGTGGTGGCGGGTGCCTATAATCCCAGTTACTGGGGAGGCTGAGACAGGAGAATCGCATGAACCCGGGAGGCGGAGGATGCAGTGAGCCAAGATCACACCATTGCACTGAAGCCTGGGTGACAAGAGCAAAACTCCATCTTATAAATAAATAAATAAAATATAAATTGGCTGGGTATGGTAGTGCACACCTATATCCCCAGCTACTCAGGAGGCTGAGGCAGGAGGATTGCTTGAGCCTAAGAGGTTGAGGCTGCAGTGAGCTATGGTCACACAAAAAAACTAAACTAAATACTGTAAGCCATGGATTACCTGTAGTCTGTAGTCTCTTTGCTTATAGCAACGAGGTTATTCCTCTGATTGATTTTATGTGTGCGTGTGTGTGTGTGTGTGTGTGTATCCAATCCAATCTCAGAATCTTACTTGAGGGTCCATTTCCTGTAATAATTTCTGTTGCACATTACCGTATCTTTAGAGTCTTAAGAGGAAATAGAGGACAGATTAAAAATAATTTAAGAAGGCTGGGCATGGTGGCTCATGCATGTAATCCCAGCACTTTGAGAAGCTGAGGCAAGCCCAGGAGTTTGAGACTAGCTGGGACAACATGGCAAAACCCCATTTCTACAAGAAGTACAAAAAAACTAGCTGGGTGCGGTGGCACACATCTGTAGTCCCAGC